GTGGCCACTCCATGTAGTATCTTCTCTATGACAGAGTTCCTAAGGCATGCAGGGCATAAAACCTGAGGTAAGGAGAAAGATGGACAAGTGGCACTTGCGTTGTCTTTTATGACCCAGTCTCAGAAGTCATATAGTGCCACTTTCATCACCACCTGCTGACAATGGCAGTTGCAGATGTCTACTTCAGGTCCGGTGTGGGTGTGGGAGGGGTGATAGATCTGTTTTTCCATAGTCATGTGTCATTGCCACATTGTCAGAAGAGAACTTGGCATGGGTATATATTGGTGTGGCCCTCTTTGGAAAATATAATCTGCCACATCTTTTCTGTATTTTATTTATTTTTTAAAATATTTTATTTATTTATTTTCAGAGATAGGGCATGGAGGAAGAAAGAGAGGGAGAGAAACATCAATTGGTTACCTCTCCCACATCCCCACCTGGGGACCTGGTCTGCAACCCAGGCATGTTCCCTGACTGGGAATCAAACCGGTGACTTTGGGTTCACAGGCCAGCGCTCAATCCACTGAGCCACACTAGCCAAGGCTCTTCCATTTTAAATATAGTCAGTTTTCCAGGAATGTAACTGGCATAAATTGCATGTATAAAGTAGGAATGTACCTGTATTTCAGTATTTAAATTTGCATTTTTAAAAACTTACATTGTGGCCCTGGCTGGATATTCCATTAGTTAGAGCATCATCCCAATATGCCAAGGTTGTAGTTCAGTCCCCTGTCAGGGCACATAAAAGAATCAACCAGTGAATCCACAGATAAGTGGAACAACGAATTGATGTCTCTCTCTCTCTCCTCCGCTTCCCTCCCCCTCCCTCCCTCTCTCCCCCTCTGTCCCTCTCTCCCCTTCCTCTCACTAAAATCAATTAAATCCATTGTGATTCTTGCCATTTCTCATTAATTGCAGTTTTATGAAAATTTATAATTCATCTTGATACCCTTGCATCAGATAAATATAGTTCTTTAAAAACCTTTATCTGTTGATAACATTTTAGAATTTACGTTAAAAATTTTGTTGTGAGCTATAATAATTCCTATCTTCATAAACTTCTGTTATTTGTGTTGGGAGATAATAATTGTAGGAGTAATTACAGATTTTTTGATATTGATTTAACACAAGATACAGCAAATTCTTAGCAACCCAAGGGATGATTAGGCAGATTATGGATCATGTTACTTTAAAAAAATTTTTATGTGATAAAAAATTCTCTTTGTATTCAATTTATATACCTAATAAGGAAGAATAGATGAAAGTTGCATTGAGCCTTTTGATTTATATTCTGAAAGACTGAAGCATGTAATACTAGTGAATGCTGGTAGCTTTGAGTTGCGTAGCTATAAATCTGGGATTTTTAATTTAAGTGTGCATTCTGTTTAGAATATTTCTTTTGGGCCTATGACTGATGATAATTTTCATGATTGATATAATCAGACTTAATTAACCACAGGATAGAATCCATCATTATCAATGATGAGAATTGGTGGATGACCTGCTGGTATGTAGGACTATCTTGCATGGCAGTTAATGTCCACTGTTGTGATTCTGAAGTGAAACCAGTTAAAGGAACTGAGATGACAGGTGTAGCCTCAGGGAAGCTATAAGCTTTGGGGAAAAACCTGAGACTGAAGATACGATGAGAGAAGGGCCATAGAAATCAGGTGGGTAATTTGCTAAAAGTGGGGATAATTCACACATTAGTAATTGAATATTCTCTCTATGCAATCTCTGGGAAATAGAGAAGTTAATTAAGTTCTTTGCTTAGAAGTATTGCTGAATTTTCCTGGGATATATGATGATTTTGATCACTAAATTATTTAAATAGGTTAATAGTACATTTAATAAATCTATGTTAAGATGAAATTAAGTGCAGTATAATTCTTTATACATTTTCAGTATAGTCCTTTTATTTTGCTTGAAAGCCTTTCAAAGTATATTTATTGTATTATGACATTAGCTTCATGATGTCCTTTTCCATATTGTCTTAGTCGGTTTGAGCTGCCATAACAAACTACCATAGACTGGGTGGTTTAAACAACAGGAATTTATTTCTCACAGTTGGAAGTTCAAGACCAAGGTGCTGGCCACATTGGTTTCTTGGCTTGCAGTTAGCTGCCTTCTTGTGTGTCCTCATATGGTAAATAGAGAGAAACCTGGTTTCTTTTTTTCTTCTTATAAGGAGACTAATTCCATCATGGGGCTTATCCTCATTACCTCATTTACCTCCCAGTTTTGGGAAAACACATTCAGTCCCAGAGTAGGTTAAGCTGATGTTAAACGTTAGCTATCTAGTAAGCTATATAACTAGTCTTAATCACATACCCTTCTTTTTGTCATTTAATGCAACGATTTAAATATACAGGTCAAATTATTTTATCTTGTTATTTCTCAGCATGACTCTAAAATTTATCTTTAAGTCTGACTATATTTCATATTTCTGCCAAACAAATAAAGCTTCTCCTGATTCAGTGAACAGATTCTGCACTTTTCTAAGAGTTCTTTCTTCCTTTGAAAGGTCTACTCATCTACCATTTCTATAAAACTTTTCTGGTTCTTTTCTTCATTTAGTGTCTTAGATACATTTCTATCAGAGGCCTGAGCTTGCTTTTTTAAAAAAAAATTTATTTTAATCATTTTTCAAGTACAGTTTTCTGTCCTTTACTCTCATTCCAGCCCACCCACCTATCCCCCCACCTCCCTCCCATTTCCACACCCCCCCCCATTTTTGTCCATGTGTCCTTTATATTTGTTCCTGTAAACCCTTCCCATTCTCCCCTGAAATTCCCTCCCCTCTCCCCTTTGGTCACTGTCAGCCTGTCCTCTATTTCAGTGTCTTTGACTATGTTTTGCTTGTTTCTTTGTTTTGTTGTTTGCATTTTTGAATTAGCATGTGCTTACTTAGTTTTTATTTTTTTCGGTGCCTCCCTTTCTGTTTTAAAGAGAACTGTTTCTAAATATCTTTAACATATCTATTTGTATTCTCTTGAATGATTTAATTAGTACTTTTTTTTGTTATCTTCAATATCTCTGGTTTTGTAACCCATAGCCACCAAGTCCTAAATCTCTCTTGACCCTATTTCTTTCTGCTTGTACTCATACTGTTATCACCCTGACTTAAACTACCATTATCTCGCCTGGATCACTAGGTCCAGGGAATCAGGTCATAAGTTTATACTTACAAAGTTTATATTCTGAAAGACTGAACTTATAATAAGTCATAAATTTAAGTTTAAGTTTATAAGTATAAACTTATACTTACAAATTTATGACTTGATTCCCTTTCTCTAGCCACTTGTACTTTTTCCTTTCTGTTCTCCATGCTACAGCAAGAGTGATATTTGAAAGCAACAGAGGGCCTGGCTACAGTAGCAGTAAGGAAAGAATTAATGAATCAAGTTACTGATGTCCTCCATGTTCTTTGTACCTACAGTCAAGCATTTGTGTGGAAGGAGGCTGCAAGAGGATTGCGCACAAAACGTTTTGACTTATGTTGTCATGATCTTTTGAAGTTCACCAGGCATCTCAACTTTTTCCTAGTGTTCATTCCTTCCTGTCCCCCTTCTGATTCTTAACCACCTCTGCTCACAGATTTATCCTTATGTTTGGCTCTTTGTGTAGAATCTGGTTACCTTACTTGTCGGGATTCTAAATTGATATAGAAAATGAATTATATGAAGTTTTTGTTATGAGGAAGTAGTAATAGTGCATTAGTTTTTATAGAGTTTAGTACTTTCATACTCTAGTCCTTGTATATGCAACATATTACTTGATTTCTAGAATATCCTTTCCTTTAAAGAATGTATTGATTCTTCCAAAGGAAACCGAGGTTTTGAGAACCAAAACAACTTCTTTCTTTTATTTATGGAAAATTTCTAAATTTACAAAAAGTATAATGAACCTCCATGTTACCTGTTACCCAGCTTCAACATGAGTAATCCCCTCCCAATTATTTTGAAAGAAATAGTATTTTTTACATGTAAATACTTCAGTTAAAATAGCTCTTTCAAGGGTCCAAAGATAGTTATTGATAGAACTGGAACTGGAATTCAGGAGTGTGTCGCTGCTGTACAGACAACACAACTCTTCCTCATAGTTCAGAATCAAAGCTGACCACATGCTTCATTAAAGCGTGTGTTTGTAAATAGTGACGCTGACATTCACTAACTATGAGTTGTTTAAAAAATTTCTATTTCTGATTTATCGAACAAGTGATCTTAGTGTAATAATAGAATAATAAACGAACATTATCCCCAGTCCTATTACTCTAAAATGTCGGTTATTTTTATTACTTTATAGTGGTATCTTTTACAGTTCTAATATCTGTCTCATTCATGCATGTGAACATTTTTTAGTGAAGGTTATATTACCAAGGACTTACCTTATTTTCTTTTTCTAGAGTTTATTATTACTTATTCCTTAAGAAAAAAACACAACAAACTCAACTGTAGTATATTGTTACCCTTTCAACTGGGAAACTTGTTTGCTAATCATTTTCTGAATTTATTGTTTGTGGGAACAGAGTTAATACCTCGAGAAAAATTCTTAATTGATGGTTTGTTTCTATGATATCTTGAAGATAAAATTGTCTTTTCTTTTGGAATAACTATTTACCTGGAGAATAAGCTTAAATTCCTCAAAAGATTCCTGAGTTGTGAAGTCTGAAACATCTCCTTTTAGGGAAAGGATTCTTCTTTCTTTCTTTCTTTGGACTAAACCTGAGTTCATTTTGTGGATAAGAACAAGGGAAGTGGTCCTGAGAAATGTTTGTACTAAGGAAAAAAAAGAAGGGATAGAAACTATTTAGTCTATAATTTGTGCTGATTAAAAAAATATTTGTAATATGTTATCTTGAAACTATATATGGTGCATTTGAAATATTTTAGGCTTTATTGAAATACTTTGTAAAATGCTGTGTTCTTATTTTCCCTGTAAGGAATAATCAAGTAAATAATACCTGTAATTAATGTAAGCATGTATCTTTGTTTTAATAGGCATTAAGCATGATGGAACCATGTGTGATACCTGCCGCCAGCAACCAATCATTGGCATTCGATGGAAGTGTGCAGAATGCACAAATTATGATTTGTGCACAGTTTGTTATCATGGAGATAAACATCACTTAAGGCATCGCTTCTATAGAATTACTACACCAGGAAGTGAGCGGTATGGGAAACAATTTTTTCTTCAGTTGCAATTCCTTATTTTATATTAAAATTCTATACTGTTCAGCTTTAAAAATAGGTTTAGGAAAACTTCTGACAGCTAGTTTAGTCAGGAGGTAGCAGATAACAGGCTAGATGTAGACTAGGCTTGCCTCTGTGAAGATGAAGCTGTATTTTTCCAAGATAATCTAGGCTATTTTTTTTCCTCGTATAGAGACCTGACATTACTCAATATTTGGAAATGCAAGGGCAGGACAAGAGGGACTGATTATTCTTCCTGCCATGCCTTCTAGTCTGTTAATTGCTACCACTAGGGCCCATTGATTGAATCAGAAAGCATTTATTAAGACTTTGAGGCAGCTACTGTGCTTGTGTCAATTTGAAGATAGATAAAGCACAGTATTAAAGAGTTTACAAGTTAAGGGATTATTTGATCAACAGTGGTTATCATGTGATGTTTTATACTCTGTGTAGAGATATGTATTAACTGTCTTAGAAGTAAGAGAGAGGAATCTTCATTGTGAATGGGTGTAGGTTCAGGTAATTTATTCTTTTTATATAACAATGGATAATGCATAGAAGCAAGCGTCTAGCTAGTCATAGGGAGGCAGCAAAAGTAATAGAAAGATGGATTTTGGTATCCTGGTGTTCCAGTTCAAATCATGGTTCTGCCATTTATTAACTAAGTAATTTGAAATAGGTTACTTATTTTTGTCTTTTGTTTACAATTTTTAAAATTAGAGTATAATAAATTCTAAAAATGAATAGAATAATAAGATGAAAGTAGGAAAACAAAAACAACAATAACAAATCAAAATCTTTTTGATTTTATGAATGAGAAGGATGTAGAAGAATAAGAGATAGATGACCTTGAAGAACCCAGCTGGTCCAAATAATGAATTTAGAATCTTGTTCAAGTCCACAGTCTTTAGTAGGTATAGAATACATACCTACTATGACAGTTTACTGTAGGCCAAATTCAGTGCACAGATGTATTTTACTTGATATATACCATGATCCAAAGTTTTCAACAGCTGTTAGCCTTTTGAAACCAGATGATTTTATATAAAAACTAAGTGTATGACTTCTTTGAACATACACACACACATACCTATATCCAGAAGACTCAACCCTGGGCCTCTGTTTGTTAATACCAAAGTTGGCTGAAGCACAGCTGAACCTGTACCCTGTGGACAAGTGAGGTGTTTGAGTTCACCAAAGTCCCTACCACTCCCTATTGTCTCCCTAAATAAGCCTGAGATCAACTGCCACTTGACATTTGTCATGTCTATGGTGCTGTTTTTCTTAGGCCCTCATTTATATTACTTGCCTAACAGTTGTAATTGATTTGAGTTTGCCATCTCTAAAGTAGTGAAGAGTTTAGTGATACCCTGAAGTAGTTAATTGGATTCATATGTGGATTCCATTACTATTTAACATTTGTGACCTTGGGCAAGTTACTTAACTGAGACTCAGTTTTCTCCTTTGTAAAATATAAATATAAATATACTCTCCTCCTAAGGAGTGCAACAAACATTATACTTCTGTGAGTACTTTTATGTATAGCAAAAGCTCAGTAAATGTTAGCTGTTTTTATTATTATTATTTTTTTAAGATTTTATTTATTTTTAGAGAGGGGAAGGGAAGGAGAAAGAGAGGGAGAGAAACATCAGGTTGTAGTTTCCTCTCATGTGCCCCCCAGTGGGAGCCTGGCCCGCAACCCAGGCATGTGCCCTGACTAGGAATTGAACTGGTCATACTTTGGTTCTCAGGCCAGCACTCAATCCACTGAGCTACCCAGCCAGAGCAGCTGTTTTTATTATTTCAACTACTACTGTCATCATCATTGCCTGTGGATTGTAGAAGGTATTCCTGTATCATGCTGTAATGATGTCAACCAGAACAAAGAAAAATCTTTCATATTTTCAAAATAACCTTTTATATAATCTCATTTTAAAATGTAAATTACTGTCACCTATTTTTCTATAAATTTGAAAGCAAATAATTTTATTTTTAGGGTTCTGTTAGAGTCTCGTAGAAAATCTAAGAAGATTACAGCAAGAGGGATCTTTGCAGGTGCCAGAGTGGTACGAGGAGTAGACTGGCAATGGGAAGATCAAGATGGAGGAAACGGACGTAGGGGAAAGGTAAAACATTTTTCTTCTTTTTAAAAAGATTTTATTTATTTATTTTTAGAGAGAGGGGAAGGGAGGAGGGAGCAAGAGAGGGAGAGAGAGGTCGATGTATGAGAGATACAGCAATTGGTTGCCTTTCACATGTTGCCAGCTGGGGACCTGGTCCACAACCCAGGCATGTCCTCTGACTGGGAATCAAACTGGCAACCCTTTGGTTTGCAGGCTGGTGCTCGATCCACGGAGCCATACCAGGCAGGGCTATCTCTTGTTATATAGCTTTTAGTTTAAAGTATATTTTGTCTGGTGTAAGTTTTGCTACTTTAGTTTTTGTATATTTCCATTTCCATAAAATATCTTTTTCCACCCCTTGTTTTTAGTCTCTTTGTGTGTGTTTCAACCTGAAGTTAGTCCCTTGTAGACAGTGTATGTTAAGAGTCTTGTTTTGTAATCCATTCAGCCACTGTATGTCTTTCCATGGGAACATTTAATCTGTTCGCATCTAAAGTAATTGTTGATAGAGATATATTATTGCCATTTTGTTATCTATATTTTAGACCATTTTTTCCTTTTGTAAAGAAAGACCCTTTAACATTTCTTGTAATATTGGTTTGGTGGTGATAAACTCTTGTAGCATTTTCTTGTCTGGAAAGTTATTTTTTTCATCTTTTGATTCTAAATGATAAGTTTGCTGGGTAAAGTGATCTTGGTCATAGTCCTTGATTTTTATCACTTCGAATATTTCTGGCCAATCCCTTCTGGCCTGCAAACTTTCTATTGAGAAATCAGCTGACAGTCTTACGGAAGCTCCCTTGTAGGAAACTAACTTCTTTTCTCTTGCTGCTTTTAAGATTCTCTCTTTGTATTTAACCTTTTGCATTTTAATTATGATGTGCCTTGGTGTGGGTCTTTTTCAATTCATCTTATTTGGGACTCTCTACTTCCTTCACTAGGTTAAGGAAGTTTTCTGTCATTTTTTAAAGCAGGTTTTCAATTTCTTGGTTGCTCTCTTCTTTTTCTGGCACCCTCATGATGCAAATGTTGGTATGCTTGAACTTGTCCCAGAGGCTCCTGACACTATACTCATTATGTTGGGTTCTTCTTCTTCTTCTTCTTCTTTTTTTTTTGGCTGTTCTGATAGGCTGCTTTTTGCTTCTTGGTGTCATGTACTGTATTGTTGATTTCCTGTAAATTATTTTTCAATTCACTTAATGTATTCTTCATTTTTGACTGATTCTTTTTTATATTTTCTAGTTTTATTTTTATGTTTTATATCTCTGTGTAGAAGTTCTCACTAATTTCATCTCCTCTGAGCATCTTTAACAACCAATGTTTTGAACTCTGCAGCTAGTGGATTGGTTGTCTCATTTTGTTTAGTTCTTTATCTAGAGTTTTCTGTTCTTTCATTTGGGACATGTTTCTTTGTCCCCTCATTTTGTCAGCCTCTCTGTGTTTCTATATATTAGGTAGAGCTGTTACATCTCCAGGGCATGGTAGAGTGATATTACATACGGGTGCCTCTGTAGGGTCCAGTGGCACAGTTTCCCTGATCACCTAAACTGGGCACTCCGGGTGTACCCTCCACCCCCACGTGGGTTGTGTACATCCTTCTGTTGTACTTGAGGCTTGTTGGCACTTCAGTGGGAGGGATTTACCCTCAGGCTGATCAGCTGCAGGTACTGGCTGTGGCCACCATTGAGCATCAGCTCTGCAGGGGTTGATCCATGCAGCAGGACTTGCTTCAGTGGGGCTCTGGTACCCACCGAGTCTGCCCCTTGAGTGTGTTGCTTGTGGAGGTGGTTGGGTGTTGCTTTGATGTTGTCTGTCCACCAGGAGCACTGGCTGTGGGGCTTCCTGGAGGTGCAGCCCAAGGTCAGCTACTACCTGTGTTCAGTGTGGGGCAAACTGGCACAATCTGCAAAGTGATCTGCAGATGGTTGCTACTTGTGCTGGACTTGGAGGTGCCCAGGAGAGGCCAAGCTGTGAAACAAGGGTGACTGCCACTGGTGTGAGGCCTGGGGCCACTTAGTCAGCAATATAGGGCAAGCTGAGGCCGATGCTGCTTGTTTGAAAGGTTTTAGGCAAGTCTAAAGCATGAGCAGAGACAGACCATTTATATGGAAAAGCCACTAGAAATGCTTTGATGGGCTCACAGTTGGGTGGGGCAGGGACCCAGGGAATCATCAGGGCAGGGTGAATAGTGTTGGCTAGGTTGATGGAGACTCAGGTATGGCACCTGCCAGCCAGCTCTGTGTGGGGAAGGCTTAGCAAAGGAGGAGTGGCATCTGCCAGAGCTTCTTTTGGGGAGAAAGCTGCCACTCCAGCCCTCTCTCTGATGCCAGACAATTCAGTTTCTAGCCGTATATGTCCTTGTGCCATTTGAGCTGCTTCCCCAGCACTGGAGCTTAGAGTGAGTGAGTCTGAGTAGTTCTGTGTGCATGCAGAATTCTGTGGTCCTTTTACACTGCGGAGCTTGTGGCTGATCTGAGATGTACAAACTCTTAAATATTTTTACATATATTGGGTGCATAGGTTCAAGGTCATGACTAGCTGCACGGTTGTATGAAATTAATGTTAAACCATGATGTTTAAGCTGTCAGTTTAGTAATAGCATGTGTTTTGTAAGGATGTATGATATTCAATAGTAAAGTGTATCAGAAATACTGTGAACTCTAAATTCATTGTTAGTGTAGTTTTTATTTCTTAATTGTATTTTATTGATTATTCTATTTGAATTGTCCCAATTTTTCCCCCTTTGCCTCCCTCTAACAACAATATCTCACTTCCTTAGGTAATCCCCATACCATTGTTCATGTCCATGGGTCATGTATGTAAGTTCTTTGGCTACTCCAGTTCTTGTACTGTACCTTACAACTCCATGGCTATTCTGTAACTACCTATTTGTACTTCTTTATCCCCTTAACCCTTCACTCATTATTCTATACCTCTATCCCATCTGCCAATCATCAGAACACTCTCTGTATCTGTGATTCTGTCTCTGTTCTTGTTTGTTTAGTTTTACTTAGATTCAATTGTTGATAGGTATGTATTTATTGCCATTTTTATTGTTCATATTTTTAATCTTCTTTTTCTCAAATAACTCCCTGTAACATTTCATATAACAATATAACAATGGTTTGGTGATGATGAACTCCTTTAGGTTTTTCTTGTCTGGGAAGCACTTTATCTGCCTTTCCATTCTATATGATAGCTTTGCTGGGTAGAACAATCTTGGTTTTCATGACTTTGCATGATCCCTGCTTTTCATGACTTTGAATATTTCTTGCCAATCCCTTCTAGCCTGCAAAGTTTATTTTGAGAAATCAGCTGACAGTCTTATAGGGACTCCCCTGTAGGTAACTAACTTCTTTTCTCTTGCTGCTTTTAAGATTCTCTCTTTATCTTTAACCTTTGGCATTTTAATTATGATGTGTCTTGGAGTGGACCTCTTTGCATCCATGTTGTTTGGGACTCTGTGCTTCCTGGACTTGTATGTCTATTTCCTTGATAATTTTAGGGAAGTTTCTTTTTTTTTTTTTTAAGATTTTTATTTATTTATTTTTAGAGAGGGAAGGGAGGCAGACAGAGAGAGAGAGAGAGGAACATCAATGTGCGGTTGCTGGGGGTCATGGCCTGCAACCCAGGCATGTACCCTGACTGGGAATCGAACCTGCAACACTTTGGTTTGTAGCCTGTGCTCAATCCACTGAGCTATGCCAACCAGGGCGGGAAGTTTCATTTCATTATTTTTTCAAGTGGATTTCCAATTTGTTGCTCCTTCTCTTCTTCTGGCATCCCTCTGAGGTGAATATTGGACCTCTTAAAGTTGTCCCAGAGGCTGCTTTCACTGTCTTGTTTGTGATTCTTTTTTCTTGTTGTTCTGATTATTTTTTGCTTCCTTATGTTTTAAATCGTTGATTTGATTATCAGCTTCATCCACTCTACTATTGTTTCCCTCTATATTGTTCTTTATTTCAATTAGTGTATCCTGTATTTCTGACGATTTTTTTTTATGCTGATGAGGTCCTCACTAAGTTCCTTGAGCATCCTAATAATCAGTGTTTTGAACTCTATCTGATAGATCTCCTATCTCCATTTTGTTTAGCTCTGTTTCTGGAGCTTTGATCTGTTTTTTCTTTTGGGACATGTTTCTTTGTCTCTTCATTTTGGTAGCCACCTGTGTTTGTTTCTATGTACTAGGTAGAGCTGCTCTGACTCCCTGTCTTGGTATCATGGCCTAATGTAGTAGGTGTCCTGTAGGGTACAGTGGCACAGCCTCTACTATCACACAGTGGGTACTTGAAGTATGCCCCTTGTGTGGCCTGAGTATATTCTCCACTTGTAGTTGAGTCTTGCTTGCTTTTGGCAAGCCAGTGGGTAGGATTTACCCAAGCCAGTCAGCTACAAGGATGGGCTATGGCCACTGACCGCCGACCTCCAACCTCCTTGGAGGGTCAGCTGTACAGGAGCAGAGTGGTGGTGCTCTGATGTGGTCTGCAACTCTTCAGTGGGTGCCCAGGCTCTGGGGTTTCCTGGGTGGTGCAGGCCAAGGTCAGCCCCCACCTGTGTTTTTCCAGGGCCACCCTACCTGAGCTATAAGGCAATCTGAGATGGCTGCTGCTTGTTCTGAGCTTGGAGATTCCCACACAAAGCCTAGCTGTGAATGTAGGCTGGTTTCTGCTAATACTGGTCTTGGGGCCACTTAGCAAGAGGTATAGGGGCCAAGGGCTCATGAGGCCAGCTATTGCTTATTTGAAAGGATTTAGGAAGTTGGGAAACATGAGCCAAGACCAGCCATTCATATGGAAAAGCAGCTTGGGTGGGCCCATAAGTTGTGTGGGAGGAAATCTCAGGGGATCTCCACGGTGGGACAAATAGTGTTGGCCAGGTTGATAGAGTTCGAGATACAGTACCTGCCTGTTGGGACTGTGACTGTCCGAGGAGGGCTCAGAAAAGGGACAGTGGCCTCTGTTCCCCTTTCATTCTTGGAAATTAAGGGTCCTTGTGGGCTAGTCAGTGGGCAAGGTCATTAGTGAGTCCTGGGAAATGCAGGACTCACCACAGGACATCAGGCAGGGCAGAAATATGAGCCAAATGCTGGACATTGGGCAGGAATATGGTCAGAGGGGATGAGTTACTATGTATTTCTTTGCTTGTAAGCTGACCACGGTCTACATCAAAGTTTTAGCAGCAGAATATTCTGTGGGGTGAGTTGAGCGACATCAGTTGATCTTAGGTGCCAGGGAATGGGAGGGGGGATAGAGAGGAGAGTAGGAACTTCACTATCATGTAGTTCAACAAGCCAAATATACTTGAGAATTTGGGACAGGTTCACTGAGCAGTGTCCTCAGGTCATTGAAATAGAACAATGGCAGTGGGTACCTTGCTGATAAGAGGTCTCAACATGTCTGGCCTGTGAATCACTTGGCTACAGTTTGGACAGATCACTTTTGATGTCTGCTGAACCAGGAGTCATCCTAAAAACTCCCTGTGTTGGATGCCTTTGTCTCTTTCCTGGCTGGATCTCATGTTTTCGTATCCTATTACATCATCTTAGCTTACCTCTTACCTTTGCTAAAGAGTACCTTCTAGTAACTTATTTTGAAAGAGTGCATGAGAAGTAGATTTTTAATGTTCCCATTCTAAAGTTTTAACTTTATTTTTCCCACACTTAAGTTACACGGTCAGAGGGTTGAAATTTTATTTTCATCAGCTTTCGAAGGCAGCTTTTTAAAGTCTGAGGTCACATACATGGAACTTTCTGGGGTTTTTGTTATATTCACTTTCTTTTGGGAGATAAAAAGTAGGCATTCTTGAAACTTCCAGTCATCAGTATTACATTTGTGGTTTGTTACAATGTAGTACATATTGCATTTTAAGAAGAAAATGAGTGAAAATAAATAATCTTCCATACATGACTCTGAGTGAAGGAATTTAATATAATATAATAGTAAGTCTTCAGGGTAATATACCGGGTCTGTCCAGAAGGTACCTAGCCATGTAATATGAGAAATAGACAGTTATTGAAGAAGATACAAGGTACAGGAAACATTGTATATAGGACAATGAAGCTTCAGTCCCCTTCAAAGTAGGCACCTTGGGGCCTCATGTAGTTTTTCCAGTCACCATCAGCTTCCCTGTCTTATTTTCCTGAATCTCATTGATGATCTGAAATCTCTTTCCTTTCAAAAGTGATTTTAGTGTTGGGAAAAGCCAGAAGTTGCAGGACGCCAAATCTGGGCTGGGGGGGGGGGCGGGGCGGGGGCTGTGAGTCACCTTGGTGATTTGATAGTTTGCAAAAAAACCCTGCACAAGACATGATGCATGAGTGGGTGCATTGTGATGAAGCTGTCAGTCACCAGTTACTTGTAGGTGTGGCCTGAATCATCCAAATAGTTTCAGTGGAGGAATGTTCAAGCTTAATGCAACATTTGATGCAGATTTGTTGCTCTGCTCAGTCATTTTGAACGTGACAGCCACACAGTACACAGACTCATGCAGTGGCATTTACTGCCCCAATTGGCTAGTACAGTGAAGTCACCATTGTTTGTGCATGCATATTCCAGTCCACTCTGCCAGGAATGGACTGGAATGCCTTCAGTCCATTCCTTGGCTGCCAGGTTACATCAGTGTTGTGTAAATTGTTCTTTTTACATTAAGAAGGGCTGGACTTTTTCCAGGTGGACCTTGTATTTTTAAGCACATTGTAAGATTAAGCACAGTTTTAATTGTCTGACTTTTTGTGTGTGTGTATGTGAGTGAAGAAAGCTTTGAAGTCCCCCCTTTCCCTTAAGTGCTGGCTCCTCTGTCCCAATCCCTTGGTGTAACCAATGTGAATAGTGTATTTCCTCTCTTTCTTTTTTTTCTTTTTTTTGAGATTTAAGTTTCCCCATCCTACCTTCATTCCTATATGTGCTCAGCAATAAGGCTAGTATGAGCTATATTAAGAGGTGCTGTATTTTGCCATGTATAATGTGAACTTTTTTTGCCCAAATTTTTAATGGAAAAATAAGAATGTGCATTATACATAGGTGTAATAATTACATACCATGGGTATGTAATTATTGTAATGGGTATAACAATCAGGTATGTGTAGAAAAATGTGGGTGCACATTATGCATGGGAGCACATCATACACGGAAAAATACAATATATACCAACCCAGGCTGTTGTTACAATACACAAACTATGTCTCATCATGTATTTGTACCATGATTTGAATGGTGATAACTGTTCACACACAAAAATGAACATGTTAAGTGTGGGCTTTGACACACATGTTGTAAAGACATCATGTCAGTGTATAGTGTGTTCTTAAAGGCTTTCTTCAGTTACCACTATCTGTGTTAGTATTTTAGGACTTTTATTCATTTTACAAATGCTTTTGAATGTGTCAAGTGTTTCATGTAGGTACAATAGATATATTTCTTTTTAAAAAAACTTTATTATGGAAAATTTCAAACATACACCAGAGTAGAAAAAAATAGTATAATGAATTCCCATGCACCTGTCCTCTGGTGGAGCAGAAAGGAAGACTCATAGACATGCACAACAGTGTGGTGATTGTGGAGCAGGGTGGAGGGGTTTAAGGGGACAAATGGTAATGGAAAAAAATACAATAATGTAAGTTTAAAAATAAAATAAAATGAATTTAAAAATTACCAACATTTAAAAAATGCCATTTGTTTGTTAAGAAACCAGGTTCTTTGGATTGGCTGATTGATTCTTTATATTATTTTTAAACTTGTTCCTCTAACCCCTGTATTTTTATAAACTAGTTGTTAGATGTAGAGGCTTGATTAGATTCAGGTTCAATTTTATTTTGGCAAGAGTACTTCATAAGTGGTGCTGTGTACTTTGTATTGCATCACATCAGGAATCACATAAAGTCTGATTGATCATCCTGTTGTTAATGTTATTAAGATTCAAGATGATCAGTGGATGCAGGTATTGTCAATTTGATTCTTTATAGAGTTTCTCAGGAACATTTTACATAATGGTTATAGCAGCAACTCTGCATACATTTCTTTTAATCCAAATTCAAAGCATAACATTGATAGTAGTTATTTCCTATGCCTTCCACTTTATTTCCTCCTCAGTAATCAAATCTTATTATCAAATGAAGGAATTTCATTTATTCCTTCATTAGCTTGACTAATGAACTTATGTTTAGCCCAGGTAATTTGAAAGTCAGGGTCCATTTGATTTGAATAAAATGTGTAGCCTTTGCATTTTAGTAAAATGCTTTTTTGTCCTCCTTATAAAAACATTTAATTTTGCAGAGCATTATTTAAACCAAATGAAGTACAGTGTGACTGTATTAGAACCAGAAGGAATTTTTTTACTAAAGGTTGACTGTTTTACTTGAGAGTATTAGAAACTGTTGCTTTGTAGGGTTTTATAGTGGTTAGTTGTGAAAACCAGAAAGCACAGGAAGGCAGTGATGGACTCTAAATTCAGGGTGGCAGTTACCTCTGTTGGAAGGAGGATGATGGGATTGATGGGAGGCATACTGGACACTTGAAAAGTATTGACAGTATTCTTTTGCTTAAGCTGGTGTTAATTTAATTTTTTGTTCTTTAAAGTTTACATATATTTTTATAATATGTAATTTATTTCACAATTAAAAAGAGTAAGTGGACTTATTTACTAACAATTTGAAGTATTTCTCAAATGTTTGATTAAATCTTAAACATAATTTTGACTGTACAACGTCATAAAACATGTAGCTTACCAAACAGTATCTCTAATACAGGGCAAAAATGAAAGGGTTATTATATATCTTATTTGAAATAGTCTGTTTTTAAGGTCATTCCTAAAAAATTTATATTTATTCTGGCATTCTAACTATTAAAAATGGCTGATTATAAGTGTTAAGATGGAGAAAAATAATAAGTTGAACAAGTGCAACTTCCCAGTCTTAGCTGTAGACTGGTTTATTTAAGAATACCCAAGTTTAGTGCTCATTCTGTATCATTTTTGTGTAGTTGACTCTTGGCCCTTAAGCAATAGTAACCCCAGTAATTTCTTTTCTAATATCAAATAAGTTTACAAATCAGTCTGGTGCCATGTGGGGCCTTGAAATTGTATCTGGGTTTCCATGGTGTTTTAGCTTAGGTGGTCTGCTTTTGGGGGCAACTGAGGAAACTTCTGGGGGAACAAAATCACTCAAGTCTTCTTGAACATTGCCATTGAACCTTGTGATTGTCATATTTTAGCTGACCAGAGAGCAGGTTAATCTTGAATCATTCTGGGTATTTGGTCAAACATTTTGTATTATATATTAAATAATGAGTTTAAAAGAAAATACTCTTCTTGAAAGGAGCCCTTTAAGAGTAAAAATTTAAAATTTTGTATTGAGTTACATATTTTCTGAAAATTATTATTGTAATCATTAAGCCTTCCAATTTAAAATAATTCAATTATTTATTAGAAGTGACATTTATTTGGCAAATAAGCATTTTTCTTATCTTTTTACATAAGATAACTTAAACGATTTTTAAGATTTAAATTTGACTTAAAGAACTAACCTCTTCTCTCCCTTTTTAAAAAATTTCTCTTCTCAAAAAATTCCCTTAGGTAACAGAAATCCAAGACTGGAGTGCATCAAGCCCACATAGCGCAGCATATGTTCTCTGGGATAATGGTGCTAAGAACCTTTACAGAGTTGGTTTTGAGGGCATGGTAAGTAGTAAGAACCACAAAAGAAAACATTGGATAGATGAAAGAAAGGAAGTAATTGTGTTCTATTTTTTTCCCCTTGTCATCTCTTTTTGTCAAAATACAGCCATCTGAATCATCATGAATATGTAATAGGAGAGGAATCTGTAAATTGAAAATTTAATAAACTTTACATTTTTACTATATTTGTTTGAACTGTTTAATAGTCAATCTAAGAATCTAAGATATAGAACCATCTGTAAGGCTGCTCCTTGGCGTGGTCATGGAAAATAGTATTATTATAAGGTTTTTATTGTATATTTGTATTGTAGGCTTTGGTGGCTGATGAAAGTGTAAATTACAGTAGGTATTAAAATTATTTTTTTGAAAAATTATTTTGTTTTTGAAGGTTACTCTAAAGTTTATTTTAATAATAAAGTGTAATAGTAATTGTATAATTAATATATGTACTTAAGTACTCATTTCATGTTTCTAAAATATAGAACAACTGCCCCTTCTGTTTTCTTTTTTTAAATTACAGTTTTATTTACCATATTTCTGATGCTTTACAGTCCCCATGACTATGTTGCAACTACTGATCTGTACTTCTCAATCCTTTCACCTTTTTGACCCAGTCCCTCAAGTTTAAATTATTTTTAAGGAGATTTTTTTTCACTGTATTTTGAAAGTGTAGTGTTGATAATTGAAAATGATTGAATTAGAAACACTTTGAATTAGTAAAGTGCTTAGGAGAATAATGGTGGTGTATTCAGTGGATTGCCCTATATTTCTGCATTCATGAGTCATTGTTCAAATATTGATCTCAGCTATTTAATTTATAGAGTATAAATATTATATTAATGCCAACATATGTCTTTTTTTATTCCTTCCATCTTGAATATATTCCTCATTCAAAGTATTCTTTAAATTTCATTTTTTTCCCAACTGTTTTATGCCCCTCATTAGGAGAGGAAAATATTCCATTATTCCTTTGATTTATTTTATTTATGTATAAAGGCCAGCCACATGACTCTAAATGCATACTTTTACTTGCCAGTATTTATAACTGGATATAGCATTGAAGATCAGTTTTTCATTATCCTCATGCCTGTCCATTTTTAAATCGTGCATTTTTGTAGGATTCCTACTTATTATTAACTTGCTTCAAATGAAGCTTTATGTGCTATATGTATTCAGGTACTTAATAAGTTTTAGGTATGTATATATACTCATAATCTTTTAAGGCTGAGTAGTACTCCTTTGCATGGTTGTGTAATTATATATTGAGATTTCTGTTGATAGTTGTCTTTTTTTTTCTTGCAAGCATTGTTTCAGCAAGTATTCTTGTACATGTGTCTGCATGTGCATTTCCTTAGGATATATTACTAGAAGTAAATTTGCTGGGTTTGAGTATGACACTAAAACAATTTGACCCCTGTGTGTTTTTGGCTAGGATTTACCTAATGTGATGCTCTAAAGACAGAGGAGCTATAAAAGAGTTGGGTTGTCTTCCCCTCTTTCTTTCATGTGTGTTTGTGTGTGTAAAGGAGCTCCTTTCCTTAATAAATATATACTAATCACCTATTTTTAACGGGTATTATTAGGAACTTTTAATGAAATCTACTTCTAAATTTTCACAGTAGCCTCAAAGGTTGCTCTTCTAAGTTCACATTTTCTCTACTTTTTCATGGTATGACCACTGCCTTCCCATTCAGATACTTAAATAATAATTTGTTTTCTTGTACAAGCAAAGTTAACTAAATGATGGTGAAGTAAGGACTAAAGTTGATGTCAATAGGAACATTAACTGGACAAGGAATCAAAGGACTTTGGTTCTATATCAAGAAATTATAGAATGATCAAATGAGTTGAGTTCTTTTTTTTTGGTAAAAGTATCTTTAAAATGGAAGGTGTTATGAACATTTTAAATACTAGGTATTTGTTATAGTTCCTTTTTTTAGCATGTGTTTCTGAAAATGTTATAAAGATCAGGTTTATCGTTTTTGAGGGGTGCTGTTTAAAGCCATGTTCAATGTGACTGTTAATCCAGACCTACTCTAGACTTCTTTTGAGGGTATGTTCTGATGGAACACTTTTGCCTGTTTTAGGTATTAAGCTATACTTGACATTTGCAAGAGTGATTTTTGTTTTTTTTCCTTCTTAGTCTGATCTGAAGTGTGTTCAGGACGCCAAAGGAGGTTCTTTCTACAGAGATCACTGCCCTGTGCTGGGTGAGTTAGCAGACTTGAGAAAATAACTGAACAATGGGTCAGAGTTCGAGGAATCAGAACATATTTAAATTGGACTTTTAAAAAATTAGTTACCATTAAAGCTATTTGAAGAGTTACTTTTTTAGTTTTATTTTGCTTTTAAAGAATTTGTTCTTTTTAAATGATTTGCGTAGACACCAAGTTTTCATAGCTTTTGATTTGACATGCCATTTATGTCATAATATATTTGAAACTTGTCTGTTGACCGTAAACTTATGTGATTGAAAAATTTTGTGTTAGATGTTACATCTCTTAAACTATTGAGAAGAGGATCTGACAGTTTAAGCTTATGATACCCTTAGAATTTCTGTAAAAATGCCTTCTGAATACAAGAACAGCCCCAAGATTAAGGTAATATAATGAATAAAATTTCACATACCGTTAAAAAAGAACAAGAAAACCAAAACTACCTTCATTTTATAGATTCTTTATTGTTGCCATTATTAACATTTACCACATTCTTCTGATTAACCTGTTAGTCTCCGAATGCTTTTCTTTCTCATATGAACTGTGTTCTTTTTTCTGAATCATTGAATTTGCCTATTTGCTAAAAAGCACTCTTTTCAGTCAAAAAGTGCTCTTTTCTTGCATATGATAGGTTATTTTATTAAAAGAGAATGCAGAAGAAATACTACGTTTTTGCTGAGAGCATCCATTTCTCTTAGTATCAGAAACTTTCTTGTTGTGTCTTGCCTTCACAAGAAAAACATAGAATCAACATACACATTTGGATTCCTTGTTGTAGTGTTTCATGATCATGAATCCTTTTTCCCAGAATGACTTTTGAAAATAATGTAGGGAATGGGCTTTGAAATCTTTCAAAATGCTCTTAAGGCAAATATCACAAAAACGATTGGTAAAATATAGTACAAAGCACTTCAGAGAAAAAAAGTAGTTCCAGGGCTCTTTTTCCTAAGCTTTAGTTAGTTATCATGGCTTTGATGCAGTGATAGTCAGCAGTCGTCCAGGCAGAAAAGTGAGTATTTTCAACATCAGAACTTCGTGTTCTGATACATGGTTGCATAGTCTTTTATAGATTTTACTCCCATTCGGTCATCATAAATCCTCACATTATTTTAGTCTTTGAGCCTGGTGTTTGTTTTTCATTTTTTAAAGCTCTTTAGTTCTAGAATTTGACACATTATATTCTCAAAACATTTTAGATTAGATGTTAACTGAAACTAAAAATCTAGAGCTTATTCTTGTTTAAAAATAATGTAGTTGCGTATTGTTGCTGTGACTTTCCTTTTCCATTGTCAACTCCCTCTGCAATTACAGGTGAGCAGAATGGCAACAGGAATCCTGGTGGGTTGCAGATTGGTGACCTGGTAAATATAGATCTTGACCTAGAAATTGTACAGTCTTTGCAGCACGGTCATGGAGGATGGACTGATGGCATGTTTGAGACTTTAACTACAACTGGAACTGTTTGTGGCATTGATGAAGATCATGATATTGTAGTACAGTATCCAAGTGGCAATAGGTTGGTGGTATTTCTTAATTTTCAGTAATGACAAATAAAACTAGAGAAAAGAGCCTTAAAGAAAGCAAATTATGTTATACAACCAAAAAACTGTTAAAGATAGCTCTCAGTAGGTAAAAATTCAGAATGTGTTGGTAAGGTAGCAAGGAACAAATGGCAAGAAGTATGTGTGTGTGTGTGTATTTATATGAATATCTTTATGTTCTATGACAATGTTCTATGACTTCCCTTCAGAGAGCAGAATATATCATATCATCAGGTCCAAGTTTAGCTAAAAATTCTGTGTTCATATTTGACTGTATCAGTCTATCCTTAATGAGGAGGATAAAATTAAAACTCTTCTGGCCCATGTCGCCAGGGTTGTTCTGGTAACACAGTTCTTCCTGCCATAGACACATACACACTAATCCTTATCAGCAACATAGAATTGTGTGCATTTCCATACTTCTGTTCCTTTGCACATACCATTCCGTTCATGTGCAGTACCCTTTCGTCCTTTATCCCCTCTCTTCCTGGGCTAACTCATCTGCATCCTCTAAATATTGAGCTCATATAGTTTGGGAACCTCTCTCTTGTTCTGCTCTCCTGCTGTGTGCACACATTATTCATGTATTATAATTTTCATTGATTTGATTTCTAGGTTGTGAGTGTTTTGGAGACTGGGCCTGTGCTATTTATTTATTTATTTTTAGAGAGGGAGAGAGGCAGAGAGACATTGATGTGAGAGTGAAACATTGATTGGTTGCCTCTCATACAAGCCCCAACTGGGACTGAACCCACAACCCCGGCACATGCCCTGACCAAGAATTGAACTGGTAACCTTCCGCTTTGCGGGACGTTGCCCAACTAACTGAGCCACACTGGTCTGGTTCCTGTGTCATTATCTATTTGTTCTTAAGGATCAAAAATATGTCTAATGTACTTGTATGTTTATGCTATTTTAAAGAAAAAGCAGTAGTTAAATTGGATAATAATCCAGCTTTATTACTGACATGTACATAAACTATTTCTTTTATTCCTTTGAAATTTTTTTTCAATTACAGTTCACATTCCATATTATTTTGTATTAGTTGTAGATATACAGCATAATGGTTAGACAATCATATACTTTCCAAAGTGTTCCCGCTGATATTTCCAGTACCCATCTGGCATCTTACATAGTGATTACAATATTATTGACTATATTTCCTATGCTGCACTTTACATCCCTGTGACTTTTGTAACTATCAATCTGTACTTCTTAATCCCTTCACCGTTTTCATCCAGTTAATTCTGAGGTTCTTTAGGGGAAGAGGTCATATAGAAAATAAGAAAAATTATCATTTAGTTGTTTACCAAAATACAGAATTAGCTCTGTGTTTAAATCTTATATACATGATTGTGTCAAGAGATACAGAAAAAGCATTTGACAAAATCTAACACCCTTTTATGATAAAAACTCTAATAACTAGGAACAGAAGGGAACTTCTTTAGCCTGATAGAGGGCATCTGTGAAAACCTCACAGGTAACATCATACTCAATGGTGAAAGATTAAATAAATGCTTTTCCCTTGAGATCAGGAACAAAACAAGATTGTCTCTTTTCCCCGCTTCTACTCAGAACTGTCCCAGAGAGTTCAGCTGGGACAGTTAGGCAGGAAAAAGAAATAAAGGAAGATGAGAAAGGAAGAAGTGAAACCATCTCTGTTTACAGATGATATAATCTTGTTCATAGAAAAACCTAAGGAATCCACAAACTATTAGAACTAATAAACGAGTTTAGCAAAGTTGTAGGATATAAGATTAATAGAAAAAAATAATTTGTGTTTCTGTACATTAGCAATGAAGAGTCTGAAAATGAAATTAAGAGAACAATTCCATTTATAATAGTATCACAAAAAAATAAAATACTTAATAAATTTAGCCTGAAAAAATAAAAGACTTATACACTGAAAACTACGAAACTTTGTTGAAGGACTCAAAGAAGACCTAAATAAATGGAAAGACATCTTATGTTTATAGATTGGAAGTTAATATTGTTTAGATAGTATATCAGTTTCCTAGGGTTGCCATAACAAATTTTACAAACTAGGTGGCTGAAAACAACAGAAACTTATTTTTTCACAATTCTGGAGATGAGAAGTCCAAAGTCAAGGTGTTGGCAAGATTGGGCTCTTTTCAGGGACTCTGAGGGAGAATCTGTTCCATGCCTTTTTCCTACCTTCTGGTGGTTGCTAGCAGTCTTGGTATTCATTGGCTTTTGTAGAATCATTGCTTATTTCTCTGCCTCTGTCTTCACTGACCTTCTTCCCTGTGAGTTGATGTGTCACAGTGTCTTCACATGACCTTTTATCCCCGAGTACAAATTTTATTTTCGTATGGATTCAAAGTAGGGAAATCATTTGATACTGAGAGCCACATAAATAATCCTTCAGTCCACTATTTTATTTTTGTTAAGCCAACACTTGTAGCTTAAGCATCCATGAGGAAAGAGCCTTGAGAAGACATAGAAGGAAATTAATTAAGCCCTAGAAATTCTAAAGTTTTTTACATAGAAAATAATCAAAAGTTGTTTTTATATGACTTCTTATAAGGACAGCAATCATTGGATGTAGGAATCCCCCTAATTTAATATGACCTCATTTGAACTTGATTATATCTGTAATATCCTACTTCTAAATATGGCCACTTTCAGAAGACATCAGGGATTATTAGGATGTAGACATATCTTTTGGGGTGGGACATAGTTCAACGTATAATGGATGGCAGTATTCCCCAAATTAATAAGCAGAGTCAGTGCAATCCCTGTCAAAATCCTAGTGACCTTTTTACACAAATTGACAGGCTGATTCTAAATTTCATGTGGAAATTCATGGGTTCCAGAATAGCCAAAACAATTTGAAAGAAGAGAATAAAATTTGGAGGACTCACACTTTTTGATTCCAAAATTCACCACAAAACTATAGTACTCAAACAGTGTATTACTGACATAAAGATAGATATGCAGATTGATGGACTAGAATTGAGACTTCAGAAATAAGCCCTTGCATTTAAGGTCAGTTGATTTTTGATAAGGGTCCAACACAGTTCAGTGAGGAAAAAATAGTCTATTCAACAAATGATGCTGACAGTATATACAAATAACAAGTCATTATATTGTACACTTGAGGCTGATATGTTTAATGTCAATTATACATCAATTTAAAAAAATATAAATAAAGCGACAATTAAGAGTAAACCGTGCTGAGTTAACCAGGTATCAGCGTAAAAAAGAATGAAATTGGACCCCTGCTGCAAGCCATGTAGAAATATGAGTCGCAGATCTAAATGTAAGAGCCAAAACTATAGCACTCTTAGAACCTAACCAGGATCTCTATTTTAAGAATTGACTCAAGATTCAGGAACACAGTGCAGGAGGCTGGCCCCTTATTTTGTAGATTTTCCTTCAAATGCAGAGTGAGTGAGAGGCTGCTGTCAGGAATGGCTGCTAACTTGGGCCCAGTTAACCCTGAGGAGTCCTTGTTGGCAGATATATTGATTGTCAAGGTTCACGTACTTTACATGTTTCTGAATGTTTCAATTTTTAATAGTGTGTATCATTTTTTATTTTTACTTTTTTAATCCTCATCTGAGGATATGTTTATTGATTTTAGAGAGAGAGAAAGGTGGGGGGGAGAGAGGGAGAGAAAGACACACACACATCGATGTGAGAGAGAAGCATCTATTGGTTGCTTCCTACATGTGTCCTGACAGGGGATCAAACACAACCTAGGTGTGTGCCTGACCAGGAATCGAACGCGCAACGTTTTGGTGTATGGGATGATGCTCTAACCAACTGAGACACTTGGCTAGGGCTATAACAATTTTTTAACAAGCAGAGGATAATAACTCTACACAGAAGTATGTCATATTAGTGTGGTGAGACTATGATGATTCTTTTTCTAAATTTGTATTTTAAAATTATAAAAGGAAATATAATCAATTCAGGATGTAATTGAAAATGATTGCTTTACTTTTTTGATGTGTTATAAAGCTTTTTTTTCTTGCAGTGCCTAACAAAATATGTTATGTTAAAATTAAACTTACCCATTTTGAGTTGTGGTTCTGATCCTTAGGTGGACTTTCAATCCTGCTGTTCTCACTAAAGCAAACATTGTCCGAAGTGGAGATACTGCTCAGGGTGCAGAAGGAGGTACCTCACAGTTTCAAGTGGGTGATCTCGTACAAGTTTGTTATGATCTGGAAAGAATTAAACTTCTGCAAAGAGGACATGGAGAATGGGCTGAAGCTATGCTCCCGGTAAGTATCTATAAAATAGTTATGTAGGGTTTTGGTTTTTGGTGGATCTTCTGGTAAAGATAGGAGGACCTACTAGACAAATTCAAAAAGAGCTGTAAGAACTAGTTTTTTAAAGTACTTTAATTTTAGAAACTAAATTAACATAATCATTGTGCTCTTCATTGGTGGCCAGGCATACTTATGCCTTTTATTTTCTAATTTCATTAAATAAGCCAGGGAAGGTCCAAAAGAGGCAACAGTTGATATTTTTTGATAGAGCTATTAGTAGAGCATGTAATGTAAGGGTAAGGCATTAATTGGGACTAAATACTATTACTGAAAATCAAAATATTAGTGAAGAAAGAGGGTAAAAGGAAGAACACTAGAATGACAAATTTCAATATTGTACATAGTAGGTAACCAATAGATAATATATTTATATTTTTTAAAGGAGAAAATATGGGTATTTATATAAGGGTATTTATTGTGTAAATTATCTATTTGGAAAATATATTGTAATTAAATATAAAGCTTTACTATAAACTTTATATTTAAAAGAGAAAAACAGATTAACCATAAAGTTAAAAAAAATAAGTGTTTGTATATAAAAAAGGGAATATGATACAGGGAACAGAGATAGAAGGGAGACATATTTGAATATGTCTTGTTTTATAGATTTGATTTGAAACCATGTATTTTATATAATTTTAAAACAATTAAAAATGAAACTCCTAAAAGTATAAAAATGAAACAACCCCAAATGCATTTCCTGTTGACATAACCATACAGAAAGGAAGTTTCAACTGATTTTTAAACACAGTAATTTGTCTTTATATCCTTATAGGAGAAATATAGCCTATAGAACTACATAGAAAAAGAAATATTTAACAATTTTTAGAGATCTAATTGTGATAGTGTTGCTGTGATTTTGAGATTGTTTAACATGACAAAAAATGAGTAGTTACAGATGATTCTAATTCTTTTATCCCCACTGATCTTAACCAGAATAGTCAGAGTTGAAAAAGGAGATACAGATGTAATATATGAGAGATTATGTAAAAACCCTATACTTGCATTTATTCTTATCTTTTAAAGATTTATTTATTTATTTTTTAGAGAGAGGGGCTGGGAGGGAGATAGAGAAGGAGAGAAACATTGAACTGTGCCTCTTGTATACACCCCGACTCGACTGGACTGGGGACTGAACCCACAACCCAGGCATGTACCCTGACTGGGGATCAAACTGGTAGCCTTTTTGCTTTGCAGGACAGTGCCCAACCAACTGAGCCACACTGGTTAGGGCTGTTGTATCTTTTAAAACAAAGTAAAACATCCCCTCTCCACCCCCCGTCACTCCCCCACCCTCTGCCATCTTAGCTTTGTATATGACATGGCCTAGAAATAGTGACCACTAACATTATTGCCCAGATTATGGTCCTGGAATATCTTTTCCTTCTGTAAAGAACTAGGGATATTTGGAGAAATGGCTAATTCTAGCTCTTTGATAGAAAGTGAACAAGATAAGCCTGATACCAGATAGCAAGGAAATTACCAGAAATTTCTAGGTCATGTTTAAAGTAATCTGGCAGCCAACTTGAAGGATGTCTTACAGAGACAGATGAAACTATTTAACTATATCAATTGGAAAAATTCATATTGTAAGAAACTATAGGACAAATTACCCTGTTTCTTTAACAAATAATTTCCACAGGGGGGAAGAATTGTATACATTTTATTTGGGGCTTGATTGAAACAAACTAAAAATAATTATTTATGAAGCAATTGGGAATTTGAACATTGACTGGTATTTAATGTATTATTGATAATTTTGAGTGGGTTGATAATGGTATTGGGTTATGTATTTAAAAAGAGTGTACATAATGAAATAATATAGGAGGGGAGAATGAGCTGATAATTGTTAAATCTAGTTGATGAGTATATAAAGATTCAATATATTATTGTCTACTTTTCTGTGTTTGAGATTTTCCATAATGATCAATTAAGGAGGAAAAAAAAGAATGCAGCTTCATAGAGTTTGAGATGGTGGTGGAAAATTCCTAATGAGAAGTGGAAATGTATAATGAGAAGTTAAAATTGGTGTGTACTGGGGGGCGAACTTGAAAGCATGGCTAGAGGAGTAGCGTATATTTTTAAGTCTTTTGAAATAAGATAATAGTTGTCAGGGGGATTAAAGATTTAAGAAAGAAGAGTAAAAGAGCAAAAGAATACATTTTGGGAGAATGAACAGATTTAGAGATCTGAAGAAGGAAAAGGAGCCCATGAATGTAGAAAGGGGAGAAACAGACAGAAAGATTAGACTGTCATCCAGAAATTAAGGGAACAATTTCAAGAAGTCAGGGTCAGATGCTATAGAGAAGTCAAAAAAGAAAAGTCAAGGGCAGTGTCTTTTCTGTGTTAGGAAGTGGTCAGATAATATTACTATTCTTCAAATTTCTGGTATTTTTATTTGCTGTTCTATTGTGTTTAAGAGGATGAGTTTTGAAACTGAGTTTGAAATGGGGCAAATACTAGCACTTAACTTTCAGGATTATGGTATTAGGTGGGTCAATACAAAATTCTTAGAACCATTGTGCTGCAAATGGCATACCATTATGCCAGAAGAATTTTTAAAATGTTCAATTCCTGACTATTTAGTCAGAGGCGCTGACCATTTTTCCCTTAGATTGTCAAGTAAAAATAATGACAACAGCCAACCCCACAGTAACTGTTCAGTGTGAATGCCTTGTCTTGAATCATAAATATAATAGATCATATAATAGAGTTGCATCTTAATAGTCATGTTGCACAATAAGGTTGCATCTGATTGGTTAGTTGTTGGTACCAGAAATTCTTATTTACAAGTATAGGCACCTGAGTTTTTAAAATGTCACTTTGGGACAAAAAGGGTAGGTAATTATTATTTTTTCTAAGTTAATCACAATTATATCTTTTTTTTTGTCAGATCTGTGAAAAACATAACAGTTTGGTGTGCCGCAGAATTTTAATAATTAGGTAATATGTGCCATGAAATGAAAAAGGTTGAAAATCACTGTTTTAAAACATTAGAACAGCCCTCCCTGGCCTGGTGTGGCTGTCAGTTGGATGTTGTCTCATAAACTGAAGGTTGCTGGTTTGATTCCTGGTCAGGGCACATGCCTAGGTTGCAGGTTTGGTCTCTCTGGTCAGTCAGGAAGAATATCAGAGGCAACCAATCAGTTCTTTTCTCTCACACTGATATTTCTGTCCCTCTTTTTCTCCCTCCCTACCTCTCTCTCTAAAACCAATAAGCATGTCCTCTGGTGAGTTAAAAAAAAAATCCTTTAAAAAAAAGGAACATTAGAACAGCACTTGCCACATGGTAAGAACTGCTGTTACTGATTGTGTTCTATACCTAATTGCCCTTTTTATATTACATTTAATAGGCATGTTATTTCTACACACTTAAGTTTTTGCATCAGGCATGATTCTAAAAAGGATTTAAAGATGGTTGTAAACTTTGAGCCCTTTTTAATTTAATTTTTAAATTAGAAATCAGACTATATTTTTAGGCTAGATTGATGATGGATTTTGTATTACTTGAGCTGTAAGTTCTCAAGATGTACCTTTTGGGTTAAAAAAATGGGTTGAAAAAAAAATGGGTTGAATATCCAAAAGCAAAATTTTGTGAACTTTTATGAATAAGATAGATTCATGATTTATTTTCTTATATTTTTGTGGAAGTATAATAGTTTTATTTTATTAAAACATTTTTAAAGGTAATTTTTTGCCCTGGCTGGCATAGCTCAGTGGGTTGAGTGCAGGCTGCGAACCAAAGCATCGCAGGTTCGATTCCCAGTCAGGTCACATGCCTGGGTTGCAGGCCATGGCCCCCAGCAACCGCACATTGATGTTTCTCTCTCTCTCTTTCTTCCTCCCTTCCCTCTCTAAAAATAAATAAATAAAATCTTTAAAAAAATAAAGGTAATTTTTAATGTTTGTAACTAATGAATAACCCATTGAATATGATTATCCTTTAAAAGTTTTTCTTTAGGAACAAAGAAAAATGAATTCTTTAAACATGTAAAAACTGGTGATTGATTTTTATGGTTTATACTTTGGACTTGGAAACATTAATCTAATTTTTAAAAAGACTTTAGGTAAAGTTGGCCGAGTACAGCAGATTTATTCAGACAGTGATTTAAAGGTGGAAGTTTGTGGTACGTCTTGGACATATAATCCAGCAGCAGTTTCCAAAGTGGCATCTGCAGGATCAGCCATTAGCAATGCATCTGGTGGTATGTTTTGTTTCATGTTTCTTTAAAAGTAATATGATTTACATTAGAACTTTTGCTAATTCCTCATTTCTGATGTACTGGTAATGTTGTATGTTTTTTCCCAGATCACATAACTTTACTTGAATGTTAACTACCTTTTAAACTTACAAAACTTGTTTTCCTTTTTCATACAATGAACAACCTTTGTTCTGGTTGAGGTATGCACTGGAAAAGTTCCATAAGTGTGTGCTTTCTTTTGCGTGTATTGAGAGCTTCTCCACCTCAAATCTAAGATATGTAAAACTCAGCATTCTCCTCTCAAAGAACCATCACTTTCTGGAGATTGTTTTCATTTTCAACATTATTGCTAGCAGATGGCTTTCTTTCTGGATATTTTTACATCTCAGCCATATTTTTTTCTTTTACTGTTTAGTGAGAGTTACTATACATGTCACAATGAGTAGAAAACCATGTTGAGATGTGAATATGCTGGATGCTGAGTAGACTCAAGCCCAGTCTTTCTTTCCTATGCTCCAGCTTTATGTACACACTCTCAGTTCATTCTACAACAGATTATAAGTTACCGATGTATATTGTTGTTATTCAGAAAGGAAGATAGGACCGTAACACTAAATGGTAAGAAAGGAAAACATACAGTGACCTCCAGTTTTATTTTGTACTGCATTCTCCTTCCTCCTCTTCTGTCCCTTCTTACCTGCTGTAATTTGCTGGTGTGCTTCAGGTTTAAATCAGGTGGTATTTATTTTTATCATGAGGTTAGATGGCATCACAGCAGGCTGGCTACATACAAATTAAAAGCATGGAGGATGGTTAATATCCTTCTCTGTAGAAATGTGGACTCTTGCTGATCTGCTGCCCCACTTTGTGATTTCTTTGCTTTCTAGTAAGAAGATCCAAGAACTAAGTAACAGAACGGGGCAGCTTCTCTTCTAATTAATGCTATTTAGAAAAAAATATTTCAGGAAAGGGTCTGTAAATCTGGTTCTTTCTTGTTTTAGTCTAAACTAATCAGCTGGCACCTTTGAAGTAATGTTGTTAACACTTAGATAGATGTCCATTTGCAACTGAAAATTGGTTTGTCCCTAAAGTATTCCCCCTGATACTATAGAGATTACATTTCTTTTGCATCATAATTATTGATGTTGATTTATTCTAAGGTCTGTAGCATTGAACTCAGAGTCATTGTGGTAGTATGCTTAAAACCTGAAAGGAGGTTTGTATCATTATGGTAGACCTTTTGTGATGTGTTCATTTCTGATATCTTTGGTATGATTTCCACCTCTTGAATTACTATTGTAACTTTATACTTTTTCTGAAATTTTAACTTGAGATACATGAATTGGACAAAACTGCGAATACTTATGCGGTCAAATGTAATGCATCTTTATATACCATATTTTTCTGTGTATAATGTGCACTTTTTTGCCCAAATTTTTGAGGGAAAAATAAGGATGCACATTATACATGGGTAGTACCTGAAATACCTTGTATCTGTTCTTATGTTTTGTAATTATTTATTACATAAAATTTCTTATACCATAATATGTTAAAAAATAAATGCTAAAATTCCTTTATAATATAAAAAACAAGCATCTAAATATAAATAAATACAAAATGAATTAAAAATTAAAATGAAAGATTTTTTTTCCTGAAAGTTTGGGCCAAAAACATGAGTGTACATTATACATGGAAAAATATGGTATATATTTATATATGTAGTAGTAATTATAACTTGCATAGTAGAGAAATAACATTAATGATAGAAATAATAAAGAAGGAAGAGTATATATTATAGGCATATGGTTAATGCTTGTCTTTTATAAAGTTTGAAATCTTCCTATATTAGCAGCTTTATTTGATGCTTTACAGAAAGACTCTCCCAACTCTTGAAGAAGTTATTTGAAACCCAAGAATCTGGTGACCTCAATGAAGAATTAGTTAAGGCTGCTGCCAATGGAGATGTTGCTAAAGTGGAAGATTTGCTAAAAAGACCAGATGTGGATGTGAGCATTTTAAAATTTTGAAGCATACTAAAATAGAATAATAGTATAATGAACTTTATACTTCAATAGTTATTTAGATTTTGCCACATCACTTAAATAATTAAGACTTTGCCACATGTACTTCTTTGTTTTTCTAAGATGTTTTAAAGAAGACAGCAGTCATCATTTTTCAGTGTGCATTTCAAAAAGATACTGAAATTTTCTTATTTTAACACTGTGACCTTTTTTATTTTATAATTGACAGAATTTACACTTAGGTTTTTAAGTGGTTAGTGTCCTTTTGGGAAATTTAGTGAGTTTTTTCCATGTCAATATTATTATGTGCTTTAAGTAGATTTTAATAAATATTATAAGCAATTTTCTGTCCTTTTTAAAACATTTAATCTAAACTTTTTACTCTCCTCTCCCTGTGAAATTAACTATTTCACAGTTTGTAAGGCAGATAAATTGGAGGTCATGTACTTTGTAAATCTTAAAAGTTTATGTTGTAATCTTACTGTTCACATAAGCCATACTTTAAATGGGCCATTTTGGTTCTCAGTCATACATTGGCTTTGCCATGCACCAATGTGATGTTCAGTGACTGCCAAGATTGTAAGTGGAGTGACAGCGCCTGTGTTATGAGGGCTTTTGTTGCTACACCTTTCTATGTAAATATGCCAGACAGTTTAAAGGTCTATAATTGTAAAGTATAAACATCTTACTCCTATGAGCTCATGTAGCATTTTAGGTTTATTTGAGAGATATCAATTACAGCAGCACAACAGAGTGGTTTCTTGATTGGTTGTAAGATACGTCACAAAAATTTTGTTTCCAATATTAAAGTACCAATGTTTTTGCGTTTGAACTGCAGTCAGAATTCTTCTATATTCATTTAGGTAGATTTACATTTTGTTATATTTAATTTTTGAATTAAAAATTCAATGTTTTTGTGTTTGAACTGCAGTCAGAATTCTTCTGTATTCATTTAGGTAGATTTACATTTTGTTATTTAATTTTTGAATTAAAAATTCAATGTTTTTGTGTTTGAACTGCAGTCAGAATTCTTCTGTATTCATTTAGGTAGATTTACATTTTGTTATATTTAATTTTTGAATTATTAATTTATTTTTTAACAATGCTGTTCATTCTAAAACTTAAAAAAAAAAACAAATAGTTCTACAAAATTTGTTAGGAAAAATGGCATCTTTTTCTCAGTTGTCTTGTCGCATTTCAGTGGCAACTATTTTCACCTTTAGAACCCCTTCCAAACAAGCTTTTCATGTCAGAGGGCCAGTGTTCAGATGTCTGGTGATCCTTGGTTGTCCATTTATCTACACTAGTGGTCAGTAAAAGGCTTGTTTGGAAGTTTTTTTGTGTGTCTGGGTTTGTCAACTCTGGACTTCACTATAGGGTGGTCTAGTTGGATGTTTCCTTGGGTTATTCCTCAGTATTGATCATTAGCTCTTTCCCCTTGGGCTGGTCTGTCTCTAGAAAGACCTCTCGATTCTCTTGCTGGATATAAACCTGGCTGCCAACCTTATGAATATTGATTAAGGGAAGAGAACCTGGGTTTTTTAGCAATTTGGCATGTAAATACTTACAGAAGAGTTCTGTGTATAGTACTTTGTCCCACCCTTGACAGTGGCTAGTGACTGTCTACCATTTTCTGAGAATAAACTTTCAGGTTTCTGTTAGTGCGAGGAGTAGCTCAGCTGTGCAGAGTGGGAGAATCCAGGGTTCTAAATGCTTTTTAAACAGACTGTCATCCAATGCTTTTGTGTTTAGCACCTATCATATTATTCCTGTATTCAGAAGTCATTAATTCTGAGCCTTTTGGGTTTCCTTGGCAGAAGGATTGTTTTCTAGGTGTTTCTCACTGCAGGTTTAGGTACATGCCTCTGTGTGTATGTGTGTGTGTATGGTTTCCGTATTGCTAGTTCTAATTATCTTTGTGGATTGAAACTTAAAAGAAAATAAAACTTTACTCCTGTTTTAGTGTGATGCCATAAATAATGACAGTAAATACAACCCATCCTTTAATTGCAAGAACACTCTTAGAAGGATATACTTTCTTTTTTAAAAGGTTTATTGAGGTATGGTTGTTTTGTACCATGAATACAAATACAATGATATACTTTTAAAGTGTCATAATACTAAAAAAAATTTCCAGCTCTTCTAATGGGATTTTTCCCCCTTTAGTTTTCTTGGTTTTCATAGTATCTATATCCTCTTGATTTTTAGATGTCAAGAATTCTTGAACATCTCTAATTGAAGTTTTTTATCCCCAAAGTTTTCTTTTTTTTACCATTCCAGGTTGTAAAGTTCTTTTTTATTAATGTATAGTCGATGTACAATATTATATTAGTTTTAGATGTACAACATAGTGATTTGTCATTTTTATATTTTATGAAGAGATCATCATGAGAAGTCTAGTAACCCTCTGTCACTGTACAGTTATTGTGATATTACTGATTGTATTTCCTATGCTGTACTTTACATCCTCCTGATTTATGTTATAACCATAAGTTTGTATCTCTTCAGGCTCTTCACATTTTTGCCCATCCCCCCACTGCCCAAACCTCTAGCAGCTATAATTTTATTTTCTGTATCTATGAATCTGTTTGTTTTGTTTGTTCATTTGTATAGTATTTTAGATTCCACATAGAGTGAAATAATACACAGTATTTGTTCTTATTTCACTTAGCATAATATCCTCTAGGTCCATCCATGTTGTCTCAAATGGCTGAGTAGTATTCTGTTGTGTATGTATGTATCACTTCTTATCTATTCATCTACTGATGGACACCTAGGTTGCTTCTGTATCATGGCCTTTGCAAATAATGCTGCAGGGAACATAGGGGTGCATATATGTTTTCAAATTAGTGTTTTCTTTTTAAAAAATTTATTTTCTATTTTTTACATTAATTTTTTTAAAATTACAGTTTACATTTGATACTATTTTAGCTTCAGGTGTACAGCATAGTGGTGAGACTATCATGTACTTTACAAAGTTTCCAGTACCCAACTGGAACCATACATAAGTGTTTTCTTACTTCTGATGAGTACCCAGAAAAGGAATCGCTGTGCTGGGTCCTTCTTTATCTCTTGTTACAGCCAGTCTGTCTTCTTTCCTTCCTTCCTTCCTTCCTTCCTTCCTTCCTTCCACCCACACACCCACCCATCCATCCATGATGGGGGCAGTAGGTATATGGGAAATCTCTGCCTTTTGCTCAAATATGTTATTAAAAGTAAGTCTACTTAAAAAATATTTTTTATTTTTCAATTACAGTTGACATATTATATTTGTTTTAGGTGTGCAACCCAGTGATTAGAAACTTGATATAACTTACAAGGTGATCACCCTGATAAGTCTTGTACCCAGTGACACCATACATAGTTATTACAATATCATTGACTGTATTCCCTATGCTGTACTTTTTATATCACTGTGACTATTCTTTAACTACCACTTTGTATTTCTCAATCCCTTCACCTTTTCCACCCATTTTCCCAACCCTCTTTCCTATGGCAATTGTCAAAATGTTCTCTGTGTCTGTGAGTCTGTTTCTGGTCTGTTTGTTTATTTAGTTTTTTAGATTCCACATGTAAATGAAATCATGGCATTTGTTTTTCTCTCTCTGACTTATTCAGTCAGCACAATACCCTCTACATTCATCCATATTGTTGCAGATGGCAAGATTTCATTTTTTTGTGGCTGAGTCATAAATTTAATTGTATATGTGCACTACTTCCTTACCCATTCATCTGTTGATGGACACTTAGGTTGCTTCCATAATGTGGCTTTTGTAAATAATGCTGTGTTGAACATATGGATGCATATGTGTTTTTGATTTAGTGTTTGGGGTTTCTTCAGATAAAGACCCAGAAGTGGAATTGTTGGATCCTTTGTTATCTCTTATTATAGCCTTTGTTTTAGAGTCCATTTTGTCTGGTGTAAGTATTGCTACCCTAGATTTTTTTGTTAGTTTGTTTGATTTCATTTTCATGAACTATCTTTTTCCATCCCTTTATTTTCAGTCTATGTGTGTCTTTCAACCTGAAGTGAGTCTCTGTAGACCGCATAGTAAGGGTCTTCTTTTGCTATCTAGTCAGCCATCATATGTCTTTTGACTGGAACATTTAGCCCATTTGCATTTAAAGTATTTGGTGATAGGTAGTATTAATTGCCATTTTATTCATTTTTTTAAAATCCTTTTTTCCTTCTTCTTAAAGACAGTCTTTAACATTTCTTATAATACTGATTTGATGGTGATGAACTCCTTGAGCATTTTTTGTCTGGGAAGATATTTTTCTGTCCTTTGATCCTAAATGATAAGTTTGTTGGGTAGAGTGATCTTGGTTGTAGGTCCTTGATTTTCATCACTTTGAGTATTTCTTGCCAGTCTTGTCTGGCATGCAAGCTTTCTTTTGAGGAATCAGCTGACAGTCTTATAGGTAACTAATTGCATTTCTCTTGCTGCTTTTAAGATTCTGTCCTTTAACCTTTTGCATTCATTATTATGTGCGTTGGCGTGGGTCTCTTTGGGTTCATTTTGTTTAGAACTGTCTGCGCTTCCTGAACTTGGATATCTATTCCTTTTACTGGGTTAAGGAAGTTTTTGTCATTATTTTTTTAATAGGTTTTCAATTTCTTGCTCTTTTTCTTCTTCCAGCACCTTTCTGGTGTGAATGTTGGTATGCCTAAAGTTGTCCCAGAGGCTCCTTAAACTATTCTTATTTTTCTATTTCTTTTTTTTTTCTCTGTTCTGATTGGGTATTTTCTGCTTCCTTATCTTCCAAATCTTTGATTTGATCCCTGCTTCATCTACTCTACTGTTGATTCCTTCTAATATATTCATTTCAGTTATTCTATTCTTCATTTATGACTGGTTCTTTTTTATGTTTTTTATCTCTATGTTTTCTGTCTCTTTGTTGAAGTTCTTACTGAGTTCATCCACTGGCTCGCTAACTTTATTGAGCATCTTCATACCCAGGGTTTTGAACTCTGCATCCGATTG